AGAGAGAGAGAGAGAGAGAGAGAGAGAGAGAGAGAGACGGGAATCTGCGAAAACTCGTGCAATCGATAGATCACCGATGACGAAGAGAATAGAGAGAAGATTGGAATCCGAGCGTCGCCTTCAAGAGGGTTGGCTTCCTCGAGATAAACTTCATTTGGCTTTCGTCCGTTCTAATGTACACACTTTTCCATCATCCATCTTTCATTGTTCGATCGTTTTCATCTATCCGATTTATACGATTGTCGGTATAATATAACGACGTATAATTTCGAAGGATTATATTTCGATTCGAACCGTGTGTATTGGTAAACACAAGAAAATGGATTAAGATTTAAAACAGCATCCTGCAGTTTGCAGCTTCAAGCTTGCTTACATTTAAAAATTATTTAATAATAATAATCGGTCTGAAAAAATAGATAAGTAAGTTTTAAAAAAAAAAATTCGATTCAATAATTAATTGAAAGTCGGTAAAAATTCAATCAACAGAAGGCAATTTTTCAAATCTGCAAAAGAACGTAGTAATGCAAACTGCAATCATGCCCCGGGAACATGGCTTTAACAAGCCGTGTTATTGATTAATCTTAACCAAGTCTTTAATCCCAAGAAATAGCCTTTGGCTAGTTTACGATCTTTCTGACCTGGAAACATCGATGAACATCAGAAACAAAATTGATCAAGAAATTAAAATTTACGTCTCCCCTTCTCTATTATATATATCTATTATACATCAGTCTTGAAATTATTCGTTTTATTACTTATTTATTACCTTGCATTTATTCATTATCTCTCTCTCTCTCTCGATCATCCAGTCGTTTCAACCATGCATCTAAAATCTCTTCTTTTCATGCATTCTCAAAATTTCTCAATGTTCCGTATATGAATATATATATATACTCCACGAGATTTCCATTTTCCACAGTACAATTCATACATCGTTCCAGAAAATCGTCTTTATATGCGGATAGATATGCGGGTGTCCCTGGAGATGAGAGAACAAGTGAAACAGTATCGATAAGGTAGCGACGACGAAGAGAGAGAAGGAAAAAGGGGGATAGAGGCCGAGAAAGAGAGGATGGGGAACGGTCGAAGAAGGAGAAGAAGAGAATCGGCGATAGTAGAAATCGCGAAGAGTTAACGGAGGGAGAGGTGATAGGGGGGCGTGGCGGTGGAGATGGAGAGAGAGAAGCAATCAGCATTTTCCTGAAAGCCAGGTCCCCTGGGTGCGTGCATTATTCTCGAAGAGGACCGAAGAAGATTTTTCTCTTACCACTTTGCTCGGCTTCCTCCTCCTCCTCCTCCTCCTCCTCCTTCACCACGCTCTCCGCAGCTTTGCTTTCCGTTCTTTTCGTCGTGTTTCATTCTCTTATCTGTTCGGTAATTACGGCGAAGAATGACCGCGAGCAGTTCCTCTCTATATCTACTAGAAAGAACTCTTTACCGGCTCTTTCATCTTCTGGCCCACCTTCTTCTCGAGGGGTTCTTCCTCTCCAACAATGTACAATTTCTATTTTTCGTTTCCAATCGTCTCGTAACCGAGGAGTCGGATGTTAACGAACGAATCATCGATCGAAGAAGGCTACT